CTGTGCTCAGGGCTCACTCCCGGCTCTGTGCTCAGGGCTCACTCCTGGCAGTGCTCTGGGGACTATGAAGAAAAAATGAATCAGTGCCTCAAAGAACCAAAATTCAACCAATAGGAAACAGGCCATTTGAACAGTCCTCTCCTCAACAAAATAACGAAACCTGTTCTTAAGAATTCCCCAAGAAAGAAATCTCCAGGCTCAGTTTGACTGGAGATGGGCAATCAATCCCCTAAAGAAGAACTAACATCAAATGTTTCCAATCGTCCACAAAAGGCAAGGGGAAGCAGTACTTCTTCACTTACTTTTTTTATTTTTGTTTTTGCTTTTTGGGTCACACCCGGCGATGGTCAGGGTTACTCCTGGCTCATGCACTCAGGAATTGCTCCTGGCGGTGCTTGGGGGACCATATTGGATGCTGGGAATCGAACCAGGGTCGGCCATGTTGGCTGCGTGCAAGGCAAACGCCCTACCCACTGTGCTATCGCTCCAGCTCCTTCACTTACTTTTTAAAGCTGCTATTATCACAATACCAGAAACAGACCCCAAAATATGTAAAAACAGAAAAAAAATCAACACACCAATATCTCTTATGGTCTTTTTTCCCCCCATCCGGCCACCCCCACCCTCTTATGGTCTTAATGCAAAAAATCGCCACAAAATATTAGCAGACAATTGCTGAAAGTAGACTATAGACTAAACATGATTGCCACTCAATGCCTCTCTTGCAAACCACAGAACCCAAAAGGAGAGAGAGAACAAAACGGAATGCCCTGCCACAGAGGATGGGGGGTGGGAGGGATGCTGGGACCCGTGGTGGCGGAGGATGGGCTCTGGTGGAGGGATGGGTACTTGATCATTGTACAACTGAAACCCACGCACAAAAATTTGTAAATCTATAACTGTACCTCATGGTGTTTCACTTAAAAAAAAAAGAAAAGAAAAAATAATAAAGTTCTACCAGTGTTTTATATCCTATATATATATTAGCAGACAAATCCAAACTGCAAATAAAATTATTTATACACCCTGACCAGTGAAATGTATTCCAGACATGGAAGGGTTGTCCAACACACCACACACACACACACACACACACACACACAAATGAATTCAGGCAATGTACCATATCACTCACGGTCACGGGTAGGGTCACGGTCCTCCCGTTGTTGATCGATTTGCTCGAGTGGGCCCAGTAATGTCTCCATCATGAGACTCGTTGTTACTGTGTTTGGCATATCGAGTACGTCATGGGTAGCTTGCCATGTAGGCGAGATACTCTCGGTAGCTTGCCGGGCTCTCCGACCATATCACCCAGAGGAAGAAAAATCATCCGGTCCTTGGGGCTGGAGCGATAGCACAGCAAGGAGGGTGTTTGCCTTGCATGTGCCTGACCTGGGTTCGATTCCCGGCACCACATATGGTTCCCTGAGCATCGCCAGGAATGATCCCTGAGTGCAGAGCCAGGAAGAACCCCTGAGCATCGCCGGATGTGAGCCAAAATCAAAAACAAAATCATATGGTCCTATCAATGAGTACAGAAAAATCACCTGTCAGAATTCAGCACACTCCGAACTTTTGAAGCTCTAGCATAGGAGGATGAAGGAAGCAGTGCTTAACTTGGGTTGTTTGTTTGTTTGTTTGGCTTTTTGGGTCACATCCGGCGATGCTCAGGGGTTACTCCTGGCTCTGCACTCAGGAATTACTCCTGGTGGTGCTCAGAGAAACTGATGGGATGCCAGGGATCAAACCCCGGTTCGGTCATGTGCAAGGCAAACTCCCTACCCTCTGTGGGGTCGCTCCGGTTTTTCTTTTTTTTTTAACCTGCAGATAACATCACACTTAATGTGAAAAACACACGCATGGCCCTCTCATCAGGAACAAGGTGAGGGTGGGTCCTGGCAACACTCCCGTTCAACCGTGTCTTGGAAGTTCTGGCCAAAGCAGCAAAGCAAGGGCAAAAAGCACACAGATGAGAAAATAGAACTGTCTGTGCTGGCAGATGACTGATGGTTTCCAGAGAGGAGCCAAAAGAATCTTAAATACACACACACACACACACACACACACACACACACACACGCACGCACTCCTGATCCAACAATTTATTTTCATCTCCAGGGGAAAAAATTAATCACATCTCTATATACGAACAGAGAACATGAAGAAAATAAAAGTCAAAATATTTGTACCAGGGCCAGAGCAATAGTACAGCAGGGAGGTTGTTGGTCTTGCACACGGCCAACCCAGATTTGATCCCTGGGCCATAAATCCTCCCCTGAGCCCGGCCAGGAGTGATCCCTAAGCAAGAGCCATGAAGAAGCCTTGAGAATCCCCGGATGTGGCCCCCAAAACAAAATAAATAATTTGCACCCAGGTATGGCTCTTAGAAAAATCATGTACATATCACATAAAAATTAAAAATAGAAAAAATATATAGTCCCCTTTTAAAAATCACCCCAAAGAAAATATTTATATCTTCGTTTAACTAAGCGCTGACTCTGTGTGCTGAAAATTATTTTTTTTAAAAGAATGATGAAAGCTTTCAAGAAAAAAACAAATAAATGGAGAAGCCTCTTGTGCTCAGAGATTGGAAGAGTCCCCAGGGTGCCAATAAATCTCCCCCCGGTTGCTGTGGAGTTGAAGGCAATTTCCCGTTCAAATCCAACAACGCCGTTTTTCAAAGACAAAGATAAACTCACGTTCCAACTTATGCCGGCCCTAAAGCAGCTGGGAGACTCATGACAAGAAATGACCCTCCAGACATTCAGGTGTAGTTACCATGAAAAGAGGCTGCAGGGACAGAAACAGATCAGACACACACAACAGGGGAGCCGACCCGGGTTCAATTCCCAGCATCCCAACTGGTCCCCTGAACACCGCCAGGGATAATTCCTGAGTGCAGAACCAGGAGGAACCCCTGTGCATTGCCGGGTGTGACCCAAAAAGCAAAAAAAAAAAAAAACAACACCTTAAAACCCACTAAGAGGTGACCCCGAAATGTGTTCTAGACAAATGTGCAGTGGAAGTGCTAAAGGTTGCAAGAAAGAGAGAACATCTGTGGGCCCAAGGTGTGGGGATGGGGGAATCTTAGAATTGACGCCTACAGGAGCCGGAGCGAGAGTACCGTGGGGAGGGCGTTTGCATTGCACGCGGCCAACGGGGGTTCGAACTGGGCATCCCAGGTGGTCCCCTGAGTACCGCCAGGGAATAATTCCTGCGTGCAGAGCCAGAGTAAGTAACCGCTGAGCATCGCAGGTGACGCGCGCCGCTGCAAAAGAAAACCCCAAAAAAAGTGACGCCCATAAAAGGAGGTGCCCCATCAAACGATAAAGTGGTGGGAGGGTTGCCCCAGACCACCTGTGCCCTGGTCCTCATCCTCCGGAGGAGGAACCATCGGGAGCCCTGCAGCTGGGCGCAGGGAGGGCCAGCAGAGGGGGCTCCGGCTCTGGGCACGGGCGCTGACCCAAGCGCCACAGGCAGTGCCACGCCGCGGTGTCCAGTCCCCACGCACACACCGGCGTGGCCACGCGCCCAGGTAAAGCATCACTCCGACACTTGCAAACTGGCAGACTTCAGCTCACGCTGCCCAGCAACAGCTCCACCAATGAGAAACGCAGCCGCGCAGCCAATCAGCGCGCCCGCCGCCGCCACGCCCCCTTCCGCTCTAAAGGCTGCCGGACCGGCTCCCGGGAGCGGTTTCGGCCCGGGCCCACGTGGCCTTCGGGCCCGCTCCAGGCCTTGCTACCTGGCACCTTTCCGGTTAGCAGGGATATCCCTGCTGCCAGCACCACGCCCTGGTACACAGTAGGTGCGCCACAGCGTGTTTTGAGGACATGACTAAGAGTTTTTCCGTCTTAAATCTTACTGATTTTAAAATTTTCGTGTTTGGGGCCACAACGGGCTGTGCCCAGGGATCACTCCTGGTGGGCTCGGGGACCACGTGAGGTGCCTGAGGTCGAATTCGGGTGCGACGCTTGCAAGGCAAGTGCCCTGCCCGCGGTGTGATCTCTCCCGTTCCCGTAAATCTTACTGAATCGACACCGTTTTGGGGACGGGAGTTGGAACATTGTGTGACTGAAAGGCGATCATGAACTTTTTTCAAAGCTGTTCTGTGTATGTCACTGTGATTCAGTAAGAATAAATTTGTTGGGGCTGGAGAGATAGCACAGCGGGTAGGGCGTTTGCTTTGCACCTTGCCGACCCGGGTTCGAGTCCCAGCATCCCATATGGTTCCCCTGAGCACCGCCAGGAGTAACTCCTGAGCGCAGAACCATGAATGACAACCCCAGTGCATCGCCAGGTGTGACCCAAAAACCAAAATAAATAAATAAATACATAAATAAATTTGTTGGGGCTGGAGAGATAGCTGGTAGGGCATTTGCTTTGCACGCGACCGACCCGGGTTCGATTCCCAGCATCCCACATAGTCCCCTGAGCACCGCAAGGAGTAACCCCTGTGTATCGCCAGGTGTGACCCAAAAAGAAAAGAAAAAAAATGTGCTGGGGCTGGAGCGATAGCACAGCGGGTAGGGCGTTTGCCTTGCACGTGGCCAAACGGGGTTCGATTCCCACCATCCCATAGGGTCCCCTAAGCACCGCCAGGTGTAATTCCTGAGTGCAGAGCCAGGAGTAACCCCTGTGCATCCCCGGGTGTGACCCAAAAAGCAAAGCTACATAAATAAATGTTTTTTAAAATCTTATTAAAGCCAACGTGGAACTCTGCGGAGATGTCCATGGGGCATTAATCATCTCGCATCTTTACAGTTATTAGTAATGGGTATGCTCTTGGCGTCCGTAGTGCCACCGTCCTCGGGAAAGACAGGGAGCCCTTCCAGATAGGACCCCTACCAAGAGCCTCCGAAGGGTGGGCGGGGGAGAGAAGATGTGCGCAGGCGCATTGGCCATCCCGCGGCGGGAGTGCACGGGCGGAAATGGCTACAGTCGGGCTCGGGGCGCACGCGCGAGCTCCCCACTTCTCGCGAGACTCGGGGAGGTCGGAAGCGACGGGTTCCCGGGCCCCGACGGCAGGGAGCCGGTCCCGCCGCGCCCGCCCGGCGCCATGGATTCGTTCCTGGTGCTGCTGCACTCGCTGTCGGCCAAGCTGGCGAGCGAAGAGCTGACCCAGCTCAAGTTCCTCTGCCAGGACCGCGTGGGCAAGCGGAAGCTGGAGCGCATGCAGAGCGGCCTGGACCTCTTCTCGGTGCTGCTGGAGCAGAACGCGCTGGACCGCGAGCACACCGAGCTGCTGCGGCACCTGCTCTCGTCCGTGCGGCGCGAGGACCTGCTGCAGCTCCTGGACGCTTTCGAGGCGGGCGCGGCCGAAGAGACAGCCGCCGAGCTGAGAGGTGGGGGGCGGGGCCTAGATCCCGGGGCGGGCGGGTGGGCGGGGCCTGGAGCCCGGGGCGGGCGGGTGGGCGGGGCCTGGAGCCCGGGGCGGGGCCTGAAGCCCGTTGGGCACACTGGTGGCGGGGCAGGTGGGCGGGGCCTGGAGCCCGGGCGGGGATGGTGGGCGGGGCCTGGGTGGGGGGTGAGCGTGGCCTGGAGCCCGGGGCGGGGAAGGTGGGAGGGGCCTGGAACACGGAGCGGGGAGGGTGGGCGGGGCTTGAAGCCCGTTGGGCACCCTGGGGGCGGGGTGGTGGGCGGGGCCTGGAGCCCATTGAGAACACTGTCTGGGGCGGGGTAGGTGGGCGGGGCCTGGAGGCCGGTGTGGGCGGGGCTTGGAGGCGGGTGGGGCGGGGCCAAAGTGGGGCAGGAACTCGGTGAGGTGGGCCGGATTGGGAGCCGGCTGTGGGGGTCACAGGCAGGAGGCAGAAGAGCCGCGGGTGCCAGCGGGGGGGTTCTAGAGCAGGAGAGTATGGAACCCTAATTTTACCCCGTGCACAGTGTGTGGATTTCCTCCAAGCCCTGCGGATACGTGACGCGTTCACTGGGGAGAATGGGGGAGTCACACCCATCCGGCACCCCAGCCTCTGCTTTCCTCCCGGAGAATGGGTGAACCCCTCATCCGGGCAGGAGGAGCAGAGTGGGCTGGGAGAGTTGGCCCAGGTGTGTGCGTGTGTGTGTGTGTGTGTGCGTGTCCAGGGAGACAGCCTCAGGCTTCCGCTGTCCACGCCAATGTGTGTGTACATGTGTACACAGTATGGCAAGTAAATCAGAGTCGGACACCCCCATACATGCACGTGTGCACGCTCATCCGTGTACACGGTGCTGTGTGGACGGTGGGTCAGGGCGTCCTGTTTCCTGGGTTCTTGGGGCCGGGGCCGATAGAGCTGCCTGAAACGAAACCTGTGACGAAGCAGCTCAGCCTCTCAGCCAGGCGGCCTGGGCCAGTGCCATGGGGAGGAGTCCGGGTGACGGTGCTGGGGTGGGGCTGGGGAGGGTGGGCCTTAGTACTGAGAAGGGGTCTGGGGGGGCACACCTCCAGACTCTGCCATTGTCCAGCTCCCGGCCTCAGGCGCCGCCTACTCTGCTCACACACCCACGTACTCTCACACTCTCATGCACACACAGACTCACACAGGTTCACACACGCACTTACACTCTCACAGGCACACACTATCACACAGGCACACACATATTCACACACACAAACTCACACAGGCACACACTCACACAAGTACACACTCTCACACATTCACACACTCACCAGTACACACTCTCACACATTCACACACTCACACAGGCACACATAGGCACAGAACACAGGCAGACACACATTCGCACACTCTCCACGGACACACACATATTCACACACACACAGGCACACACTCACAGGCACAAACTCACACAAGCACACTCTCACACAGGCACACGACAGAGGCACACATCCACATACTCACACAGACACACACTCACAGGTACACACACAAGCACACACTCTCACACAGGCACACAACACAGGCACACACTCACACATTCACACAATTTCACACGACACACACACATTCACACACACAGCCACACACTCACGCAAGCACACACTCTCACATAGGCACACACTCACACATTCACACACTTTCACACGGACACACACTCTCACACATTCACACACTCACAGGCACACATTCACAGGCACACACATACAGGCACACTCACACATGCGCACTCTTATGCTCTCACACGTGCACAGACACACGACACACACAGACACATACAGAAACACACACGCTCAGGCATGCACGCTCTCACACTCACACCCCCTCTCACACGCACACACGTTACCCCTGTCCTTTTCCCCACGGAGCCCTGGCCGGCGGGAGTCGGCCGTGGCCGGCCGAGCGGTCTCAGCTGGTTCCCTCTTTGGTTCAGGGCCTTCGTGCTGAAGCCGCTTTCCTGGCACACTCAGGGCCGGGTTGGGGCAGCCTCGTTTCTGTCTCAGCAGCCCCCGTCCCCCACCCCCCCGGTCCCCCGTCCTCGGCAGGGAATGTCCCTCCAGCCCACCCGGCCACGTGACCCAGGGCGGGAGCCACACGTGGGCTGGTGGCCACCGGCCCTCTGGGCCCCCTCCTCCGAGCATCCGGGAGGCCGTCGAGAGCCCCCAGGCCCAGGGAAACGAGTCGCTTTGTCCTTCCGTCCCCAGAGCTGCACGCGGCCTTCGACATCGTCTGCACGCACGTGGGCAGGGACTGGCGGCAGCTGGCGCGGCGGCTGCAGTTGTCCGACGCCCGCATCGACGCCATCGAGGAGCGCTTTCCCCGGAAGCTTCCCGAGCAGGTGAGGGAGATGCTGCGGGTCTGGAAGAACGCCCGGAGGGAGGCCGCGACCGTGGCCCAGCTGGTGGCGGCACTGCGGGCCTGCCAGATGAACCTGGTGGCCGACTTCGTGGAGGCCGGCGCCAAGCAGGCCGAGGGCACCTAGAGCAGGACCCGGGGGAGACGCCCTGGCCCCGACCCCGCTCTGCCCGTGGGCCTCTGTCACCCGGGCCGCGTCCTGCCGGCCAGCTCCGTCAGCAGGAGAGCTCCGCAGGGACTGCTGGTCGGCGGTGTGGAGCTGGCCCAGGGCCCCGGTGTCCCCGTAGGTCCCGTCAGACCTGGTGATCGCCCGGGACCCGGCCCCGTTGTGGCTCCTGCAGGCAGACGCGATGGGGCCGTGTCCAGCCAGGAAGGAGCCTAAAGCGCGTATTGGCCACCCACTGAGAGCGTGTGGGAGTAGAGGCAGCCCGAGACGGAGGAGAGTCGGGGTGTGGGCTCTGCACGCTCTGCTTGGCAGATGTCACCCCACGCTTGGCCGAAGACCTGGACACCGCCCCTGCAGGCCCCTGGCGCCCGCCCCTGGCCCTGTGTGAGTCCGGGCGCAGAGGCCCCCAGAGTCAGACAGTGAGGACCCGGTCGGCCGGTTCAGGGGCCGCCACACTGCCCCACCTGTAGGAACCTTCTGGAAATACCGCACTTCCACGGCGTGGCGCCGTCTCACGCTGAATCGCTAGCCTCGTGCTGAGTTGGCTGTTGGCGGGAGTTGCCCCGTCCTCCCCGGCCACCCCTGCCCGCTCCATTAAAGCAGGTGCCTTCTCCATGGGAACCAGCTCCAGTGAACTTCCTCCCGGCCAGGCGGCTCTGCCCACCCACCCATCCGGCCAGGCCCCACAACGGCCTGTGGGATGCCGAGCTGTGGCACTTAAACCTCTGGCTGCTGACCCCGCCGACGCCGGCAGAGGGGGACACAGGATCCCCCAGGGCCGAGGGACCTCACTTAGCAGCGTCGCGCCTGGCGCTGCCCCCGGGAGCATCCTGGAGTGGTCACGGTGCCCTGCTCTGCCCTTCAAGGACGCACTGCCCCCCCGGTGGGCCAGGATATGCGTGCTGAGCCTCCCCGGCCCCGTGCGGTCTTCGGGGCTGGTCCGGGCCCACCCTGAAAGGGGCTGCCACAGGAGGACACGCATCTCCTCGTCCCCTTCGCTCTGGAGCCCTGAGAAGGAGCACCCGAGCTGTGTTCCCCGAGGCAGAAAGGCTGCACCCACTCTGCTCACTGCCCCGGACAGGCAGGGGGACAGGGGATGGGGGTGGGGCGGGGTCCAGTGTCCACACACACGCACACATATACTTGTATACACACTCTTACACATACACTCACATGCACACGTGCACATGCTCTCACACGTAGCACATCCACATACACACATACATGCACACATGCATTCTTGACGGTCGCTCTCTTACACGCCTGCAGCAGGCCTGGCGGCCCCTCCTCTTCATCCTGTTTGCCTTACCCTCCTCCCTCATCCCGAGGCCCCCCCTGCACGATGCTCGCCAAAGTCCTGGGTGCCCCCTGCACGTGCCCTGCTTGGACTCCAGGGCCCTCCGCTCCCTTCCGGCCTCTCTCTCTCTGCCCCCCCACTCCTACCCCCCAGTGCCACTGGCCTTCTCCGTCCGGGCTCCCACATGACTCTGGCCCTGACCTCACCCTGAGGTCTGAGGAAGCATCCGGGACCAGGATCTGAGTGTCCCGCGGTCAGGGTGTCCTGCCCGCTCCACACCCCTGCAGCTCTTTCCACCCCATGCATGCCACGGCTGCCCACTTATGCCATGGGCAGGCCGGGCCCCTGGGTCTCTTCTCCCGTCTCCCACGCCACCCCTGCAGGCTACCTGAGAGTGGTGCTCACCGCACCCATGCGTGCTCCACACTCCAGACCTCAGCCTCAAGTGCCACATGCACCCCGTGGCCCGTCTCCTGTCCACTCAGCCCCCACTCAGCTGTGGGCAGCTCCCCGAGGTGGGTGGCCTCCACATCTGCCAATCCACAGGCAACACCACGGGGGGGGGGGGGGGGGTGTGCCATGTGGACCCGCAGCTATCCCAGGGGCCACCTCTCTGGTCACTGAGTGCCCGCACGGGCTTGCCCGGAGATAGAAGCCCTGTGTCCGTATCCAGCCGGCCCACCGATGGGCAGAGGGGGCTGTGGGGAGGGGTGCCCGCGGCGGGGCGCAGGGTGCAGGCTGGGGGTTTGGGCCGCATCTCAGCTTTGGTCCAGGAGATGCAGATTTCCAAGGGGGTAGCTGTGCGCCGTCCAGGGGCACACAGTGGACAGACAGACAGACGTCGCAGGTGCAGGACACGAGAGGAGAAGTCCTGAGCATGCAGTCGTGCGGGGCAGTCCCCGCGCCAAGCTCCAGGAGCACAGAAGTGTCCAGCACTCTCGGGCATGTCCCAGAAGCGGTCACCCCCTCAGCAGCACCAGCCTGGTCTTCACTTTTCTTCACTCCATGGTCCTACATTTTCAGGGGGAAAAAGAAAAGACGAAGTTTTTGCCCCCCCCCCCCCCCAAAAGCTTCTGGCCCCGGAAGACAGCGCCCCTGACCCGCTGTGGCCGTGACACCTGCAAGCCGGCCACCTGCCCCGGCCCCTTTCGGCCCCTCCTGGGACTCGTTTGGGGCTTAGGAAGTAAAACTCATCTCCAGGCAACTGATGTTTCTATTATGCCTTAAGAACTTTCTAGAAGAATCTCTCCTTGCCCCCTGCGGGGGCTCTTCCTAGAGAGGATGACCCTGGGGTTCCCGGCCATGCCGGGTTTGTTTCTCCAGGTGCAGGTCTGGGTTCGAGAGGAAGCGTCTTCAGGCTCAAGCCGCAGCTGCTTCAGGATTTACTGCTCAGAGCTTGTTCGTATTTCCTTTTCTCTTTCAATCCGCCTTTGAACTTGACGCGAGCCCTTTTGGAAATGAGCATCCCTGGGGGGGGGGGGGGCAGCCCAGTGGGGGTTACCGCAAAGGCCTCGTCCTTGTCACAGAGGTCTTTACAAAGTCCCGATGACTTGCCACGACGGCCCTTACCTCTGACACTCACGGATGCTTCTCCCAGGGAGAAATTCAGGGAGAGCCCCTTGGGTTTCCTCGGCCCAGCCGCCAGCCTTGGAACCTTCCAGCTAACGGTTACCCCGTGTTTGGTGGGCCGGAGCCAGAGTGGGGAGATGAAGTGGGCACCGAGTGCTGTGAGACCCTCCAGCCGCCCGTATGCCACAGCCACGCCTGTGCCCGAGCGGGCCCCGGGGGCCTGGACAGACCTCTGAGCTCTGGGGCCAGAGGGAAGGGCAGGATGGGCGACTTGAAGTGGGCGTTGGGGCAGGAAGGGGGGATGGCGCAGTACCCCAGAGCTGGAGGGAGCTTTGAGTGGGTCATTTGGGGCAGGAGGTGGGGTCTGGACCCCTGGCCGCCCGAGTCCTGCCCCGAGCCAGGGTGCACACAAGGAATCTTCTGGTAATGCGTGCACAGCACAGGTGTGATTCAGCCTGGGTGGGGCCTGGGTCAGCCGCCACCCTCGGGGCTGAAGGGCTGCCTCATCCCCCCGCCAAGATGTGGCCAACGGCCAGTGCCTTGCAGGCCTCACTGACCACTGTGTGGACCAGGCCGCCGCCGCCTCAGCCCTCAGGCCAGACCCCCTCAGCCTGGGTCCCCTCCACCTTCAGCCTGGAGCCCCTTTGAGTTTTGGGCTCAGATGAGGCTGTAAGACTGGTCTCGAGGGGCTGGGGCAATAGCACAGCGGGGAGGGCGTTTGCTTTGCATGCGGCCGACTCTGGTTCGATTCCCAGCATATGGTCCCCCGGGCACTGCCAGGAGTGACTCCTGAGTGCAAAGCCAGGAGTGACCCCTGAGCATCACCGGGTGTGACCCAAAAAGCAAAAAAAAAAAAAAAAAACCGGTCTCGAGTCTCCCTGGGGCCACCTCGGTCTTGCCTCACCCCAACAATTCCTCCCCTGCATGCCTCGAGCCTCCAGAACCCAGGGCGGGAAGGCCGCTGGAGAGGTGCCTGTCCCTGGGTGCCCTGTGCCGGGTGCCCTGTCCTGGGTGCCCTGAACTGTGCCCTCAGTGGGATCTGGATGGGTCTGTCTATTTCCGGGTCACCCTGCGGCCTTGCTTCTAACGTGTTCAAGCAGCCGCTTCACTGTCTGCGCCCCCTGTGGGGACGGGGGCGGAGCCGCCTCTCACCCCAAGCCCCAAAGTGGTCTCCCCCTCCCCCAGGCCTCAGGACTACACGACAGGGCAGGAACCCCCTGGAAGGGGCAGCCAGGCCTTTGCTGGGCTGCCACTTGGGGCTGGCATCGCGCCCCTGGGCGTGCCACCGGGTCATGGACCTGACAGTCCAGGGCTGGGACAGGTTGGCCACGGGGCACCGGGAGGAACAGGAGGACCCGCTGGCAGGGGACGTCCCTGTGTAATGTGGGGCCCTGCACCCCGACTTGGACACATAGCTTCTTTCTTTCTTTCTTTCTTTCTTTCTCTTTCTTTCTTTCTTTCCTCCTTTCTTTCTTTTCTTTTCTTTTGGTTCACACCTGGTGATGCTCAGGGGTAATACTCCTGGCTCTGCACTCAGGAATTTCTCCTGAGGAATGCTTGGGGGACCATATAGGATGCTGGTAATCGAACCCCGGGTCAGCCTCGTGCAAGGCAAACGCCCTCTCCGCTGTGCTATCGCTTCAACCCCGTTCCATTTGCTTTTAAGTTTGGGGGCTGCTCTGGCAGTGCTCAGGGCTCGCTCCTGGCTCTGCGCTCTCTGTGGGTGGTGCCGGAGATGGCCCGGCCCTTTCCAGAACTCTCTCTTCCCTCCTCTCACCATCCCTCAGTGAGCCGCTCTCACTTCCTGCGCCTGTCCCTGCAGTTCCTCTCCAGCGGGCAGGGGCGCAGAGAAGGGGGCTCAGGGCTGACTGTTCCCTGCAAAGAGCAGCCCTTGTCTTGGAGAGCCAAAGCCCCCCCCTCCCCGAGACTCAGGGGGCACATCCTGGGAGCCCAGGATAGCAGGGCGGCAACTCGCGGAGCTGGTGTGGCCACTAGGTAACACTGCACTGTGCCTGGCCCGGCTCCCTGCTCGCTGTATCCCCCTACCCCCATGGACGGCCCACCCGCCCCCCCAAAGCACCGACAGCCATCGGCTGCTTCGCGCAACTCTGTGCTTCCTGCCACGCGTCACTGGCCCTGCGCCCCGGCCAGCCACTTCCTCTCCTCTGTCCTCGTGCATGTGACCTTGGCTGTCTCGGGGCTCCCTCACGGCCGTCCCTCTCCAGGGGCTCAGCAGCACCTGCCTGCCTGTCAGATGGCCCGTCCCTGTCCCTGTCCCTTGTCCCAGGCTGGTGGGGACTAGAACACAGCCGCCCCGAGGGCCCTGCCAGACGCAATCCGCAGCCACCAGGAGTGGCCCAAGCCCAGAGCCCTCTCTCGGGAGCTTGTCCTGTCTGGGTTAAGACTCACAGTTTTTGTGTTGTGTGGCTTTTTTTCCCTCTTTGGGTTACACCTGGAGATGCACAGGGGTTCCTCCTGGCTCTGCACTCAGGAATCACTCCTGGCGGTGCTTGGGGGACCCTGTGGGATGCTGGGAATCGAACCCGGGTTGCCCGCGTGCAAGGCAAACACCCTCCCTCGCACTCCGCCTCTTTTTCCCGTCCCCGCCCGGTGCCCGCTCACTGCCCAACACGCTGCAGGTCCGAGGGCTGTTTCTGGGGCCAGGCTCCTGCTGCCGGACTCTGCTGGCCATGGAAGAGACCTGGGTGGGCGTCACATCCACCTGCCTCAGTCAAGCTCATCTGCA